CCTAAACCCTAAACCCAAACCAGCCCCCACCTAACCATACTTGGAGGCAGCCTCCACTCGGCGGATGTCATCGAGGGCAGCAAGCTCGAGCTGCGGTGCAGGCATTCCAGTTGCCTTGGGCAAGTGGTGGGGCTCAGTGGGGCTCAGGGTAAGATGTAAGCATTCGAACTAAGCTCAAGGAAAGCTGCAACATGACTTGCAATCATTCCAGCGATCTCGTTGCAGAACTGGGCTGGGTAGATGCCAGACATTCGTAGTGCACGTCTTCTCCCCGTCCTGAGCTCTTTCACACAGAGATCTAGAGACTGGGCAGCAAAATACTATTTGTAGATAATGCATCTCAGAAACACACGGACCTTGCCATCTTTCACCTTCCTGGTGACAAGCTTTGTGGAATCTGATCTGTTGAAATCTTTCTTCTTGATGGTCTTGTTGAGACCATAGATGAAAGTCCTTAGGCACACTTGGTTGCGGAAACGTCCATCATTATGATGCATTATAACTCAAGGCCAGAAGCACAGTTCCAAACAATAGTGTTCGTTTTGGTCGGCAGTGTCCATAGGCTCCCATCCACCTTGGATTAAGTAGTTGGTCAAGGGCTATGGTGTTATTATGTGCTCACGTAAACTGTGTACTGCATTATATAGGGACCCCACAGTTTCTGAGCATGCCCAGCAAGCCGAATCATATGGTCAACAAGAGGGAACTGCATCAGCAGGGATCCACCTGGCTGCTCCACCTCAGTCTAACTTAAAAGCACCCGAATCCCATCAATTGTAGCACTCTACAGCAGACCAGCTTCAGGCAAGACTCCAGCCAATGGACATCGCGGGCCAAGGCCACGCTTATCAGCAGGCAGAATCTGCTGATGATCTTATTAGCCATAATCACAGACGTAGTCTTCTTACCCATGATAGATTCGTAGCGCCCAGTGGCATTCGACGACATGAATACCCACCTTGGTTGGAGACGATTGTGGTTATAGGCCTAGGGTTTAGTTTAGGGTTTGTTTCGGGTTTACTTTAGGGCTTAGGGTTCACATTCAGAATCAACAGCGGAGACGATTGTGGTTATAGGCCTAGGGTTTAGTTTAGGGTTAAAGTTTAGGGTTTAGTTTAGGGTTTAATTTAGGGTTTAGGGTTAACATATATATTCAGCATCAACAGCTGGGCTCACTATGCCTCTAGCTGCCCCTCAGTTGGGCTTCACGTGGCAGCGCCAACGACGAAAGCGTGGGGAAGCTGTGCACGAGATTAATGAGTCCACGATGTACCGAGCCTACAACACTGCGAGGCCACGATCCATGGGTCGGAAATCAGACAATTGACACCGGACCCACCGGCTACTATTGAGCCCGAACTGTGGGAGCTCACAACATCCCGGATGAAGCACCAGCCATCTGTGCATACCGGCGGCACAAGCTGAAACCAAAATCTAATAATACGGGAGTAGAACCACTAGTCGCATAAACTTGCTGTGAGTATCCTGCAGGAGTTAATTATTAAACCGACCTCGAGAACCTCATTGCCCAACCTCTATCCTGTACATTTAAGCCCTAGAACATAACACCTTAAATAGCTTTATTGATATTATATTGGGAGATTACACGGTACAGCTAGATCCTCTACTGGTTCACATGTTCTCGGGCAAGGCTCCAAATGCCCCAGGAGCAGGCATAAGATTATAATATCATGAGACACAAAGCCCCAGCAGCCCGAGCCTTTAGCCAAGATTGTGCAAACTTAGCAGGAATCCGAAATTAGGTAAGTGTTTGGGATTTTAGGGTCCGGGCTAGGTGGTTGAGATCTAATACTTCGATTGCTGCTGCAGTGGTAGAAACAGCAGACAGGGTTCGTAGGGCCTGGGTTTCAAGCTGTTGAGGAATTTTAGTCTCGAGTGAAATTTTCGGTATTGCTAAAGCCAGTTACCTGGTAGGGTTTACATTATAGGGTTTCGCATTTAGGGGTTTAGGGTTTAGGGTACCCGTTTGAGCATTCCAGGTTCGAGGTTTTCGTGTTTAGGGGTTTAGGGTTTAGGGTAGGGTTTTGGGTGAGCATTCCAGGTTCGAGGTTTTCGCATTTAGGGGTTTAGGGTTTAGGGTAGGGTTTTGGGTGAGCATTCCAGGTTCGAGGTTTTC